TCTCTCTCCACAAATGCTGCCAGACCTGCTGAGTTTCTTAGTACTTTGTTTTTATTGCAGTTCTCTTTCTTCAGTTGTTTAGATGCCCACCATCTTTCATGACTGGATATGAATGCCATTTTTAAGCTTTTCTCTTCTGTATGGCTGGAGAAGCAGCCCTAGTTCAATATCAAGATTACTAAACCACTCAGCAACTTGACAACAATACACACTATGTCAGCTGATGTCACAAGAATGAAAGTTCAGTATATGGGCATGATCTTACTTGGATGGTCACAGTCAATATGAGCTGTTCCTCATAGTCTATTTGTGGAATGAGTGGCCACAGCTTTCCTCACCCATCCTCAAGTAATTGCGCGCTTTCCAAATTATATTTGGGAGAATACATAGCGAGTCTGGAACCTTAAACTAATCTAAATCCATGTTATTTAACATGGCGATAGCACTATACGAAATGTAGTGTGTTGCCATTGTGTAAGAGACAACTATGCCCTCTTACCTATACAGTCAGCTAAAGATGCATCTGTAATAGGTATATCGGTGAGAATGAGGTCAAATAGGTCTGTCTTTCTGTCAGTTCTCTCACCACCTGGCATAGCCCAGTCTTGATCTTCAGGATGAGGTCAGTTATGGTAGTGCTACCAGTTCACTCAGTAATAGGCATTCAATTTCACTACCCAGAAGATTCATGCCCTTGCTACCCTCAGTGCTTCACTCCAAGTATTTAAAATAGAGAAGTGCTGATTTGATTAGCTGAAGGGCAATAGGTGATTGGGGGTATCCTTTCCATGTTTGACCTGATACCATGAAAACGTCATTGTGTGTAGAGCATCTGTTAAGGACTCCTACAGTCACTACAGTTCTCATTTCTAACGGGTCTGTCCTGCCAGCTGGAGTGCAAGCTGATTATTGCCTTTGTGGTAAAAGTCAATTTTTGGGTGTCAGAAATGATGTTCTCTTTAACAAGACGAAACAATCATACTGTCCATCTCTATCCAACAAGATGGCAACTTAGTAGTACCACCTAACCTAAGGAAAAACAGGCAACATCTAGTATCAACACAGATAAACTGCTAAACCAGACCATAGGCTGAAAGCTGTCCGAGTTTATTGTTAGTCAATAACACTGCAGCACTGAAGGATGAAACATGAACACAGCCCTGTGATTTTTTCTTTGAAATGTTTAGCTTTTGCTGTCAACTACTGAAGTTGATGAATGCAAGGCTGGAGCTTCCACATAAGTGGAGGAAAACAACATGATACACCTGTCTCTTAGGTAGAGAATGCCAGGACTCAAAAGTAAATTAAATGGGGATTGCAGGAACAAAAACAGCTTATGGCTCTTTTCCCTCCTACCTCATAAATACCACTTATGAGGCACAGAAAGAGTAAACTCAAGCAAAATACCATTTGAACCTAAAAATATTAGCTTAATATAAAATACCTGAAGAACAGATTAATCCATTGAGGTTTGAAGTGTTGCCTTAAGTTATTTACCACTGGTTCATTTTAAATAGAAATTCTGCAAGGAGACTGAAGCACAGCTTACCTCACAGGATGACGCATGAACAATAAGAAATCATGGGACTTCTGAACAGTGAATAAACTTACATTTTAGTCCCAGAATTAAACATTAAATCATATTTTTTAAAAAGGTCTCGTACCAAAGAAAATCTTTACAAGTTTTATTAAAATTTCGATTAGTTTTAGTCATTGCAGATAGATGAAAGCCAAATTCAATATTCCAATAAGCAGTTTCAGAACTAATTCTCAATTCCATTTCACAGGAATACTGAGGCCTCTAACACCTGTTTGAGAACAGCCACAAATAATTTGCATATTTCTTTTAAGGTTGTACAGTGTGCCAAGGGCTTTTGCATGATGCCAACTTAGACATAGCTTAGAGGAGATTACAGGAGATGTTGTGAAGGCCAGTCAAAGATGCTAGTTTTCAGGCAGCCTGTGAAGGTAGTGATGGGAGTGCATGAAGATGGTGTGTGCGCGCGCGTCTGTGTGTGTCTGTGGGTGTGTGGGGGGTGGGGGGGGGGGGGCGAGAAAGAGTTCTGGGGAGGGGTGCTGGATGAGGGTGAGGTTACATTTGTGAACCACAATATGACACTAGATCCCAATGCCACAACATTCCCTAATTAAAAAGGGAATTTTCCTTCCAGCATGTTCAGGGCAGACTTTGTTCAAAGGAATGTTCAGGTCAACTGAACCGAAGAAAAGCACGACTCCAAATTTTTTCATTCATTGACAGGATGAGGGTATCACTGCCCACCCCCAATTGCTCAGAAGGCAGTTCAGAGTCAACCACACTGATGTGGTTCTGAAATCATGTAGGCCAGACCAGGCGAGGATGGAAGGACATTAGTGAACCAGATGGGTTTTTCTCAACAATCGACAATCGATTCATGGTCATCATTAGATTCTTAATTCCAGATATTTTATTGAATTCAACTTCCACAATAATACTACTAGGCCATCGCCTCCCCATACATTCTAAATAATGCCATTAAATTTAAATGGTCGGTTTGAAAGAGGTTTGCTCGCTCAACAGGAAGGCTTCTGGGAACTCAAGGTGCATAAAAAGGAAGGGCACAGAAACAAACTGAAAATGACATCCTTCCTTTGGGTACTAAGGGGAATTAGCAGCTACCTTTGAGATGGACTGAAGGACTGGCTGCATTATCACTACCAGGTAGTGAAAATTAAATTAACTCACTATTTAATTCGACATTTCCTACAACAGTGGTGAAAATTAAAAAGTACATAATTTGCTTTATTTGCAGTACTTTGAAGTTACATTGCTAAGTACACCTAAATTTTTCTTTATATGGGCCTCTTGTGGTCAACCTCAGATTTGCTCGGTGAAAGTATTTTGTGTTTCCTCTGCCTGGAGAATAGTCTTACAGGACATAGCTCTCATCTTATCTTCACCTGACTGAACTCAATGGATTGAAAATCAAGCAGCTATTGAGGGCTACCAATGCATTAGAGCAGATTACTGCCCAGATAGTGATGAGAAAAATCTATTCCATAAGCGTTGAAAACAGAGCAAATAATAAGTCAAATGCATCTGGTAAAATATTCTAAAGACTTCTGAATACACATACGTACACAATTAGAGCTAACAAATGAAAATATTAGGCTTATAAATCATGTTATCCATATAGTGACAATTATGAAGCACCCTTAACGTTGATTATATTCCAAAGGATTTCATAAAAATTGGGGTGAAGGGATGAATTGGATGGGAAGGGAAAGCAAAGCAAAACTATGTGGCAGTTTGAAAACACTACTGAAGGAATGGTGAAAAGACAGATAGATTTTGAGAAGGATTGCAAAAACTTAAATGCCGTATGAATTTTAAAAAAAAAAAAAAATTACCCTTCATAGGATGTAGACATCACTAGCCAGGCCAGTATTTATTGGCCATCCCTAGCTGAGCAGAGAGCAGTTAACAGCCAACCACATTGCTGTGGATTTGCAGTCACATGTAGGCCAGATCAGGTAAGAATGACAGATATCCCTCCCTGAAGCACATTAGTGAACCAGATTTTTTTTTCTGACAATCTGCAACGTTTCACCAGAATTTGAACCTGGGTCTCTAGGACTTTACCAGAGTCTCAGGATTAATCGGTTCATGCCATATTCTCCCCTGGGGAATTACGATGCATGAGCGTTTCTAAAGTACAAATACCATGTACAGACTGGGCAAATGCCAGGCAGCTAAAGCGGCCAAGCATGGGCGGCATGGTGGCTCAGTGGTTAGCACTGCTGCCTCACAGTGCCAGGAACCCGGAATAGATTCCACCCTCAGGCAACTGTCTGTGTTGAGTTGGCACATTCTCCCAGTGTCTGCGTGGGTTTCCTCCAGGTACTCCGGTTTCTTCCCACAGTCCAAAGATGTGCAGGCTCGGTGGATTGGTCGTACTAAATTGCCCGTAGTGTTCAGGGATGTGTAGATTGGGTGGGTGAAAGGTGGATGGGTCTGGGTGGGATGCTCCAAGGGTTGGTGTGGACTTGTTGGGCAGAAGGGCCCGTTTCCACACTGCAGGGATTCTATGATTATCTTGATACAAAGACTCATCGCACTTGCATGAGATGAGAATAAAAAGGAAGATGGTCTTGAGAAGGGGCTCAAAATTGCTCTAGACTTCCAGATGACCGTGGATCAGTGAAGAAGAAACTGAGATACAAAGAACAAGCATTTGTTGTCTGAGGTGGTCATTGAAGATTTAGGTTTAATGATTAGTCTGAATGAGCTCTCTCTCTGCTCAGTGGCCATCAGGTCTGGACACAGAACGACTGTACAACTGACTGTTTGGAATTACATTACATGCAAAAAGATCTTGTTTACTATTTCAGGTACAAGTTGGGATCAAAAGTGCAAATGAAGGCAAAATATTGCCAGATGGCTCAGAGACATTTAATGATTAAACTGCAGAGAGAAAGTAGCTACAAATAGACTGATTCATTTTGCATTCTCAATGACAATTTCCCTACAGCCAAACCAAGTGGTTGGAACATCTATTCTTTACCAACGTGACCAATCGATCAAAGCGTAAAAACACATTTGCCAGTACAGGCCACAAGACATCAGTCAGAAATGGAGACTGTCATAGGAGAATTGGAAGTTCATCTGCAGCAGTAACAAACAGTATGTTGATAGCATTGTCTACTGACAAAACCTCTCTAAAGAGTGAATGGCTGTGCGTGATAAACAGAAAATATTCACTGTGAAACTTACGTTTCAAGTCTAAACAAAATAAAATTGCTTTGAAACTTTTGTGTATTAAAGCTATTATTCAAAGCCCCTAATTAATTTATAACAAGACACCCTCAATAATGAGGACAAAGTGCTTCCTTTTAGGAGCAGCAAAGTGTCAAAATGAGGTTTCTACTGGATTAAAGGACAAAAGGAACAGTTTTTGTTTTATATTTCATGTTAATCACTGAATCAGTAAGAGATGCATTATAATTTAATTAAACTTTACCTGGTCATTTCATCATCACCCATGACTTTGGTAATTGGTGAGTATCTGCCTGGTGATGATGGAGGAAGAGTCTGTTTGTATTCTGTGCTCCCTATGTAGTTTGCTGGCGTGATATGGTTTTCCAATTGGGAATAGGCTGCAAGAACACACAATGGGGAGGAATGGTAACACAATCATATTTTTGCCAACATCTTGACATTTTTGTTACAAGAACTAAAAAAAAAATCAATGCAGTGTACATGCATCAAATTAAAACAAATCTGGATAAACATTCAATTCATCAAACTGCTTATTCTACATCCCACACAAAAATGCTTTGTGACCCGTTTGGCAAGTTTGGATTAAGTAGCTCAAGACTAGTATTCTAGAGCACGGCCATTATCCCACAGAATGTGTAAAAGAGCTTCACACTTCTATGTACCAGACTATAAAATCATTAATAATGGATTGGATTGTGGGATCCACAAACTTAGTTATGCTTCCACAAGGATACAAAAAAACAGATTAGTTGCTTTATGACTAGAAGCAGAAAATGGACTTATATGGGAAAAACATCATTACAAAAAGTCCGGTCAACAAATCGTCCATCTTAGAACAGAATGATGCATGATGTAGGAGCAGGAGCTGAACAGAAAACCCTTTAGAAATGGCTTTATAATTGCATAGGGAAATAATTTGTAATTCTGCTCTTCCTGCCAAGTTCACATTTTGAAGCTGTGACTGATTTACTCCAAACAGCACTTTCAAACTATTGTTTTTGACCTCTAATTCAGTATGACACTTGTGCAATTGTTGATCTGCTCAAACACTCCTTTACCTCCATTTTAGATCCCTCTGTCCCCATCAAAATTTTGACTCAGTCTTGCTCTTCCTTGTCATTTCCCCCCCAAAATAGTCTTTCTTCATTCTTTCAGTTCAATTAGGGCACAACAGCTCTTGCAATTTACCCTCAGATTTGGCTGGATAACATCAAGAATCAGTCTGGAGGTGGTAGCAGAACATTTAGAAAATCATAATACAATCAGGCAGAGTCAGCATGGGTTTGTGAAAGGGAAAGTATTTTTTTTGTCCCTTCGTTCTTTCTCGGATGTTTCTGGCAAGGCCAGTATTTGCTGCCAATATTTGAATTGAGTGCCTTGCTAGGCCATTTCAGAGGGACCTTAACAGTCAACCATATTGCTGATTTCCTTCCTGACAGGACATTAGTGATCCAAATATAATAGTGATCCAAATCCAAACAACGATAGTCATATGGTCCCCAGATTTCAGATTTAACAGTTTAACAATAAATTCCACCAGCTGAACGGAACTTGAATCCATGCTCCTAAAGTTTTCGCCAGAGTCTCTGGATTTCTCGTCTAACGACATTGTTACTATGTCACCTTCTCTCCTTATTAACTTTTGATTACTATGGTAGAGTTCTTTGAGAATTTAACAAACAGTGAGAAGAGAAAGGTTCCAGGAAACGTACTGTATTTGGAATTGCAAACAGGTGATAACATATCACATGAAAAGATTACTGCACAATATAAAAGAGTTCATGTTATTATGGTTGATATATTAGCATAGATTAACTAAGAGTAGACACAGCCAGAAAAAAAAGGATCATGTTTAGATTGGCAAACTGTAACCAGCACCATAGGGATCAGTGCTAGGGTCTCAACTATTTCCAATCTAGTTTCATCATTTGGATGAGGTGATTTCTTTCACACAATACCCGTGTGTTCTATTAGATATCAAAAGACTTAGAGTTATGAGGGTTTTATCGTAAATCTTTTGAACAGTACAAACACTGCTTTCCACCTTTCCTTCTGGATCTTTTCGCTATCCTCCAGAAGCCAAATACCCATAGGAGAAGATCTCAGCTTTTATTTTTAAATCAATCAAACTGTTCAGACGTTTCAAGCAGGCAGGATTTGAGCCCAAGATTTCTGGCCCAGAGGTACAGCCACTGCCACTGCACAACAAGAACCCAAAATAGCAGGGGAAGATCTTAGCCTTTTGTTTCTGAAAACCCACTACCAAATCAGCCAAGTAAACAACTAAACAAGGAACAACCAACAAACATGATCCATCAGTGACAGTGCAAAGGATCCCTGCTCTCAGATATTTTTAATCAACCTGTCAGACACCTCTGGAGCAGGTGGGAGTTGAACCCAGGTATTCTGAGCCAGAGATAGGGACACAATCACTGCACTACAAAAACACAAGATCTCAGCTTAGTACACAGGGTTGGTGGGGCCACACCCAAATACCGTCTGCAGTTTTGTCTCCTTAGTTAAGAAGGAATTGCACTAGAAGCAACTCAAGGAATGCTCACAAGGCTCATTTCTAGGATGAAGGGGGTTGCCTTGAGGGGAAAGGTTAAGCAAGTTGGGCATGCAATCATTGGAAGTTTAGATACCTTTTTGAAATAGTGAGGTACACAGAGGGGATTTTGCAGGATAGTTGCTGGACTTCACAGGATTGTTGCTTGCAGAAAGGATGCTTCCTCTAAGAGGGGGAAAATCTAGAACCTGGGGTTACAGTTTCATAATAAGGAGTCTCCCATTTAAGACCGAGCCAAGGAAGAATTCTTCTCAAAATTAGTGGTTGGAATGTTTTTTCCATAGATGGAAATTCTACATTAGAAGCTGGTTCTTTGAATACATTCAAGACTGAGTTAGACAAATTTTTGATCTGCAGGAAGTCAGGAGTTACGAGAGACAAGCAAACAAAAAAACATGGAATTAAGGCCACAATCAGATCAGCTATGATCTCACTGAATGGCAGGACAAGCTCAATTGGCCTATTCCAGTTCCTTTTGGTGAACATTGCATTTTAAATAAACTGTCATCTCTTTTCTTTGCATATTGGGAATGCTACCACCAATTTCAAATTCAGACAGAATTACCTCTTCCTCAGCTCAACATGAACTGAGCATCCAAACGTCATATCACAAAGACTGCTTAATACCACCTCTGTAACACTTGACCGCTTAAACCCATCCGCTACTGAAACTATCGTCCGTATCAGTGACCTCAGGGCTCAACTGTTTCAATGTTGCTTTGATCAGATTCACATAGTTTACACTGCAAACTTCAGTTCATCTGCAACATTGGTCCCTGTATCCTATTCCACACTAAGTCTTCTCATTATTGATCTTTATTGGTTATATGCCACCAGCATCTCCAATGTAATTCACATCCACATTTAACTCCTTTATGGCCTTGCTCATCTTCAGTCTGCTTGTCTCCTCTCCAACTGCTGAGGCAAACTACTTCTCCACTGTCCATTATTGGCAGCTGTGCAGTCACCTAGACCCTTCTTGCAACATTGGAATTCCGTCTCTACATCTTTTTTCAAAACATCTTTCTACCTAATTTCTTTCACCATTTTTGGTTACCCCTCCATATATTTGGCTTGGTATTCCTAATTCTGATTTTCATCCATGAACCAGCTTGCAAAGATTCCTCAATTGATGAAATCAAGTAAGGATAAGATTACGTAATTCAGGAAGATTTAATCTCGTTTTATATTTGAATAAAATTTTTGATACATTATGACAACTGATTCAGAGATTTCAAAATGTGTGCAGACAGCCAAATAATTCTAAGGCTTAAGTATTCGACAAATGTTAGTTGCAGAAGCAAAGGAAATGTTAAATAGATAATTATACAGAACAAATTGTTTTGGAGATGACTGCATCCAAGAGGTTCAGAAAGTGTGTATTTTTTCATATTTGAACAGATTAACCACATCATAGTGTACATCTCATTCCTAGATATTCATTATATTACACAAAGTGTTCAGATTATCTTTAACCACTTACATACACAGATAACATGTTAGATTACATATGGGAAATGTAGGAGATTTAGCAATGAGGCAATTTAAAAGGTATTTGTAATACGTAGAGGGGCAGAATTCGGTGTGACGGTTATATAAATAATGAGAAAATGCTATTGAAGAATCAAAAAAAAAAAGACCAACATATTTGATTCAGCACTCCTTACCCAGTTATGAAGTACTGCACTTGGGAACTGACAGAGGGCCCAAACACAATCTGACTCAACCCAGGAGGCCGGCCATGATACCAGTGGTTCTAACCCCAATCACCACCACAACCAAAACCACAACCACAACCACAACCACAACCCAGATTCTCCAGGGACCCTCCAAAGCACCCACTGGCCATCAGTCCGACAGCAAAGAGACTACTGTGATAAAGGGTGTGCTGACCAGTGCCCCCACCACCCAGAGAGTAGCCACTGGCTCTCTAGAGGAAGAGAGGAACCAAGGCAAATAAGTCAAGAAAATGTGCAACTTTTCATGCATTTTTACCTTATATATTTTGAGTGCATGATTAATTAAGCATTTTATATTTTGTAAGAACTCCTGAATGAAGGGCCAAATTTAGATGTATGAGAAAATACTGCCTGTGTGACTTGAGTTAAATCACTAACAGGGATTGACAGTATGAGCCAGTATGATGGCTAGGAAAGGGAAGTGCAGAACAGATATCTAAATTATGTTGTATCAGTTACGATCAAAGTGTATACATTGAAATGTATAAGTTATCCTCTCATAGTGCAATAACCAAATTAATTAGGGGTCATCAAGTCTGGGAAATGGCCAGAGAGGCAAAAGTCCATTTAGGTATTAAGCATATTGAGCTCAGGTTGTGACCATGAGCTCTGACCATGATTCAGCAGTTAAGAACCTATTTTTCTAACCAATCTGTTCAGAGATGTTGTGACACACTTCTGGAGCAGGTGGGATTTGAGCCCAGAGCTCCTGCTACCATTGCACCACAAAAGGAGCTAAATGCAAGTCCTGACAGATGAAATGACATAATGAAAGCATGACATCAGAAAACAGGAAGAGGCTCCAGCTACACAAGATATAGACAACTGACTGTTAAACACATTTGAGGTACAGGCTTTGAGATGACATGAAAAAGAGGAAATCAGTCACAACCCCATGTGAAACCACTAGAATCAATGGAAAGCAAGAACCACTGGAATGAGGATATTAATTGATTCGTTACATATAATTTTTGTTGCCTAATAAATTGTCCTGATGCCACAGCATCAAGTATTTCCTTGTCTGGATTATGTTGTCTGGTCTCAAACTCTTACATAAGTGTTAACAAGA